GGTTCAAGATCAACCACCACAAGAAAACCGCGTATGTAATGGCAAAGGATATTGAAGAGTACGGACCCCAGCTTAAGTTGATCCAGAACCGTGCCATCACTTTCCATTGTGGGTCACCCCGAATCTTCTGCGGTACCCTTATCACCGGAACCGCTCCCAAGAAGGACGAGAAGGAGGAGGAGAACGAGAAAGAGATCTACGATCTATCAGAAAACTACTACATGTGTCGAGGCCATGAGGTTGAGTACGAGGGAAAGTGTGGAAACGGCTACATGTGGGACATGCCCTGTTGCAGAAACACTGGCAAGTGCGGTGACTACGCGCAACACAAGTGTCAGTCCAGTCACTGCTGCTCTTAAATTTGTATCAGTTGGCACCGAAGGTAGCACTGGACGGGCGAGCATAGGCCCTCCATCTTCTCCACAAGCTGACAAATTTAGCTAGTTTTTTTATTTGTAAATAAAGATTTGTAAAATCATCCAATTAAATTGCTGTGATGCACAAATGTAGGCGTGTAATATGCGGTGCATATACGTATACAGATTTATGTAAGGCATAAAAGCATGTTGATCCGCATGTATATTTGCAGGAGCATGAAAGAGGTGCATATATGTATGAGCATTTATGCGATGCACACACACACACACACACACACACATATATATATATATATATATATATATATATATATATACACACACACATATATATATATATATATATATGTATCCAAAACGGTTCATATTGATACGTAAAACTTGCTACACATGGTTGAAACATACTAAAAACCCCTCATACTTGTCCGCTATATAGAGGTAAAGTGATGAAGGATACGCAAATAAAAAGTTCTTTTTTCAAATTTTCATAGATACAAATGCAGCTGCAAGAACCACAACACTTCAAGTATTTCGACAGAACAAAGATCTTTTACATCGTACAATCGTAGCACTGTATAAATACTGTATACCAATATAATATCGGAAAGGATACCTCGCCCTCATCTTCAAATCGTGCAGACGCCGTACACCTACGCTGTGTATACGATGAGATCTATTTATACTAACGGCTTCAAAATGCATTTGCAGCAACCCTTCGATGAATATGCGTTACAACTTATATTTATATCTACACCGGCACCGCAATCGCATATTTCAATTCATACATAATTTCTTTATATTAAAATTTTCGCAAATGACTGCATAGAAATATGCATGCCTTTTATTTATAGGTGCGTGCTCGCATACGTACTTGCGTATTCACAGGTAAATTCACACCCAAGAGCATACACATGACTTGTGTCAAATACATGCTGCATGTGTTGTATTAACGTGTTCCTCTCTTATAATGAGAAATTCGTTTCATCGAGACCATATATTTCCCTTTCGTAAGAAGCAATTTATATTAACATCAACGCATAACCGCAGGAGGAAATACCTGGCAACGGGGTTGATAGATAGATGGCTATATAGTTTGAATGTCGCGCGGTTTACGGACGGCCTCAGTATTGTAAATACACTTTCAAGTCGACAACGTGTACTTGCGTGTAAGAAGAAAGCAATATTGAACATTGCCTTAAAAATAGATAGTTCAAGAAAAAACACATGCTATTTATTTGATTAGAATGGTTGTGGTTTTGGGTAAATGGTGCTTTGCAGATACCATTAAATACTAATGATATTTACATTTTATCTTCCTTCAACACTTTGGGCAGCGACTAGAGCGTGTGAGTCAATGTATATGCATCATGCAAATATGAGAAAGTAACTAGTTTTGTAATAAAAAGTTGTTGCTACAGGATGCGTAACTGCCTGGTTTGATTGGTGGCTGACCCCGCGAGAGCAAAAACAATATTCCGAAAAAAGTAGACTTTGGAGTTTTGTTGAAAAAAAAGAAAAAAAGAAAAAGGAGGACAAACACACACACACACACACACAACAATATA